CAGGTGGATCTCAGTGAGTTCAAGGCCAGCTTGCTCTACATACAGTATTCCCAGCCCCACCAGCGCTACACTGCTAGACTCTGGTTCAAACAACTCAGTTTTAAGGCTGTAGCCCTTGAATGCACAGTCCCTGGGTTAAATCCCCATATATATAGTGATGAATGCCTGCTATCCCAGCAGTAGGGAGGCAGGGGCAGAGGATCGGAAGTTCAAGGTCAGCCTCAGTTACAGAGCAAGTCTGAGGTCAGCATAGGATAAATGAGACCTTCCCTCAGAATAAATAAATAGATCATTTCCCCCACAAAGGATCTTTTATTTATTCTTTTACTTCATGTACCTTGATCATATATATATCTTCAATTCTATTCCCCTCCTCCTCTACCCCCAGTAGCCAACATATACACCTCCTCTCTTCATGCCCTTTCTTGGTTTTTGCTTTTGCATTTGTTTGCTTTGGAATGTTGACTGATCTCTCTGGCTGGCTCTTGTGCAGGATCTGTGCAGCAAGCCACAGGGGCCATTAGTTTGGGAGCACGGTGACTGCACTGTGACAGAAAGTGGTACTTCACAGCCCTCCCCCCCACCCCCTGGTCCTACATGCTTTCTACCCCTATTTTATGTTTCTCCCTGAGCCTTTAGGAAAAGGGATTGACACAGACATCCCATGCTGGCAGAGCACTCAAGAGTCACTTACAATCTACCGGCCACTGCAGAGAGCAACTTCTCTGGCCACTAATGTGTATAAAGATAAGTAACTAGAAGGCAGTTGGACATGATCATTTAGCAAGGCAGTAGCAGTAGGGTCTCTGAGGCCCCATGACCTCCGTGCCTTGAGCTTTTAACTAGTCTATAGTACTAGGCGTGGATTCCCTCCTAAGTAGTAGGCCTTAAATTCAACAGGAAAGTGTTTATTTACTCCATGATTTTTTGTCCCACTGTTTCACCAGCAGGCCATGGTACTGTAGTATGGAGTGTCCAGCACTAGGCAAAACCACTGGTGGCTGCTCTTCCCCAGCAGCCTGGGGAAGAGCCCTGTCTCTGTGAAAGCAGGCAGCAGAGAGGAAGCTTTCAGTTCAGTTCCAGCTCGATTTCTCTGTGGTCTGCAGTGAAGGTGTGTGCTGTCCTCAGCCATGGAGCTTTACCAGTTCGCTATGGCGAACAACCAAGGGCAGCAGCAATAGCCTGACACTTTTTCAACAAGCAAAGTTACAGCCTTGGTTGTTTTTCTTGCTAGGGTGAGGCTAGGGGTACAAATCAGTAGTGTGTGTGTGTGTGTGTGTGTGTGTGTGTGTGTCCAGCTGGTTTGAGATCAAGGACACCATGCCCCAGCGCAAGCTGCCTCCAGTAATGGGCTTCCTCAAACAGAGGGGCATCATCCATGGTAGAAACCACCTTCCCGGGCTGGAGAGATGGCTCAGTGGTTAAGAGCACTGACTGCACTTCCAGAGGTCCTGAGTTCAAATCCCAGCAACCACATGGTGGCTCACAACCATCTGTAATGAGATCTGATGCCCTCTTCTGGTGTGTCTGAAGACAGCTACAGTGTATTCATATATAATAAATAAATACATCTTAAAAAAAAAAAAAAGAAAAGAAACCACCTTCCCTGCCAGACAGGGAACACTGTCCTGAGTCCTCTGGGAGAGGCCGCCAACATGGCTTCTGCTTCTGTGTTCCGGGCAAGATTCAGTCCCCAGGGCCATCTTTCCATCTGTAAAATGGGTTGGGATATCACAGGTGAGCACTGCTTGCTCACTCCCAACAGACCTGTGGGCTCCATGTGGTTAGAAACAACAAAATACTTCCTTGAAATACTGTCCCTGGTTCTAGCACTTGAGGAATAGCCTCTAATTGACCACAGTGGCTCAGAGATGGAATGAGATGGGCAAAGCAAAACAGTGGAAACATTCAGAAAAAGTGATAACCTGGCCCGGGCAGGCTGGCCACAGATGGCTTCAAGGAAGGAGAGCGTCATAATGAGTGCTGGGAAATTCTCAAATACTAACAGGGTGGAAAAAGAAAGTGTAATAAAATGTGACATGCAGCCGGGCGGTGGTGGCGCTTGCCTTTAATCCCAGCACTTGGGAGGCAGAGGCAGGTGGATTTCTGAGTTCGAGGTCAGCCTGGTCTACAGAGTGAGTTCCAGGACAGCCAGGGCTATACAGAGAAACCCTGTCTCGAAAAACCAAAGAAAGAAAAAAAAAATGTGACATGCGTGGGAGTGGGGTGAGATGGAGACCTAGGAGGGGCATGATTTGGGTTTTCTTCTTCTGAGACATTTCATCCAGAGATTCAACCTCCATCCTGCTCCAGTGGTGTACGGTTGGTTTGACGACTCACACTCGGTACGCTTATCTCGGGTCTCGAGGTGACAGCTGCAACTCCGCAGCCTCCCTGGTTCCACCACGAGCAGGTGGCTGGAAGCCTCCATTGACTTGACTTTTGCTGCAGGCGGGGCGGCTGCCTCGGGCTCCGGGCCCGCAGTGTAGCCGCAGCGCCGGCCCCGCCCCCGCCCGCTCCGCCCTGCAGGCCCGCCGCAGCCAGGCTCGGATCCCGCCCGCCCGCCCGCCAGCGGCCGCAGAGCCAGGTGAGCGCACGCGCCCCGCGCCCCGGGCCAGCGTGCTCGCGGATCTCTACCCTGGTGGCCGAGTGGGGCACTCAGGAGGCTGCAGCGACCCCGGTCCTTGCTGCTGCTCCCCAGCACCCCTTTCGGCTCCCTGGAGCCCTCCCTACCTTGTGCTGGTCCGTTGGTTGGCTGCTGCGTCTAGCGAGGGAGCCGCAAAGAAGCCGGTAAGGGTGCTGGAAAAGGCTTCCCGGCCCGAGGAAACTGCACGTGCCAAGGCAGGGAGAGTGGACAGGAGATTGGTGTTCGGGCTCCCTAAAGGTGAATCACAAGCTGAGGAGCACCGAGGCAGCAGTCTCCAGGGCCCCTGAAGCCACTGAAGGCCTAGGATAAGCCGAGGGCCCGGGAGGGAGGGGAGGAGAGGGACGACCTCTCTCTCTAGACACACAACAGGAGCGGAAGAGTGGGCTTGGGTTGGAAAAAGAAACAAGCTTCCAGCTGCCTGCACTCAGTGGGGTCCTACAGCCATGCGGGACCCCGTGGAACCTCTGTGAGGTGGGGGTAACTCAGAACCTGCTTCAGGTTGCTGGAGTTCCTGGGACATGGACACAAACTTCTATGTTAGAACTTTCCTGGGCAACAAAATGCAGAAGTCTTTCCTTGCAGGCCCAAGAAACTTTGTCTTTGAGTTGGAATCACTGGCTCTAAGCTGGTCTAGCACATCATAGGTTGAAGGCATGGCTCCCACCAAATCTCCCGCTAGGCCCAAGGCCCCAAGAATAAACTCCTGAGCACCCAGAAAGGGAGGGACCCCCATATCCAAAAGCCAGCCTCTTTGTAGGATCTCAGCCTCAACAGGTGAGGACTGAAACCAGGCTGGAGGTAGGTGGGCAGCGCTGAGACATGGGTAAAACCAGGACCTCCGAAAAGTACTCTGGTTACCATGAAGGGAGCTAGAGGGGCAGTTAGCAACTGAGTTTTATAGCCATGCCCTGGTGACAAGGGGAGAAAGGCACACCTACATGGCTTTGGGTTCCTGGCACCTGTAATTTGCAACGAAGGTCAGGAGCCAGCAGCAACTGGCCCTTTCCCACTCTGTCCTTTTGTCTTGGCCTCTGGCTCTTTTCAGGGGGTCTGGATTAACCTAGCAATCCCAGCACCAGTTCAGTATAGACTTCAGGAAGAATTTCCAGGTGAACCGGGGATGACTGTTGGGTTGAATTCGGACAGATCAGATGTAAACAGGGTAGTTACACCTTTGTCCCAAGCCTTCCAAAGTCCACATCTTCTAGAAGGCCCACCTATGGCCACGCAGACACAATGACTACAGAGATCTGTTTACCAGGTAGTCTTGCTCTCCAGTTTGGAGCCTTAGAATGATCTGGGGTCCTCCCAGGACCTTGCTTGTCTTCAGATTTATTAGGATGAGGAGTGGGGAGACCACACAGATGCCCCTAACTGCTGCTTGACCTTGATGAGACCTTGAACCCCAGTCTTTCTATCTACTGTGGGGCATGACCTCGGCACTGCACAGCCAGCCTGAGGGTTGGGGGAACTTATGGCTGCTGGGCGTGGGGCAGAGGCAGAGCTGTGTGGTTGGTTTTCCTCTTCCCCCAACCCCATCAGTCCTGGGCTGGCTGCCTGCTCTTTTCCTCACAGAGCTGGGTTTCCCTGGGGACCAGCGGCTTGGCCTTGCCCCATACCCACAGCCCCTCCTGGCCACAGTTCACGCTAGAAGGAGGGCTGGACCCTCCTGGACCCTGGCCCTCCCTGCCCTGCTGACCAAGGCCCAGTAGTCTCTCCATTGCTGAGCTGGGAGCAAGGAGCAGCAGCTCACACGGAAGGAGGTAGGTGACTAGAGGTGGCTAGTCAGGGTAGTGGCCAAGGCTAGGCTGGGACCCTTATCACTCTCAGTGGAGGAAGAAGGATTCTGGAGACTCTGGTTGTCAGGGTTTGCTGTAGACTTGGTGGTCTCACCTAGGGAAATGGAGAGTCCCAGAGTCCTCAGACTTGTGGGATTTAGAAAGGGGAAGTCTGAGGCTAGGTCTCTGCGGTCACAGGCTTATAGGCAGTGGCTGGAACTAGAGCACAGAGGATCTCCAACAATGTATGCAGTAAGGGGAGTGTGACGTTCTTATGCCTGGAAGCCTCAAAGGGAGACAGATGCTATCAAGAGTACCCTACAAATGAGTTCTGACCTCCCCATGTAAGACTCTTCCAGGATCCCCCAAGGATGCCTCTGACTCTGCCCAATCCTGCATCAGTGTCTTGTCCCATCTCCCTGCAGGTCCTAAAGCTGTCTAGCTGGCATGGCAGCTCCAGTATCTCTGAGGGCCACAGGGGGTCCAGTCCTGCAGGGCACATCCTAGACCTCGGAGAGCTGGACAGTCTGCCATCCGTGCTCTCACCAGCCAGGCCAGATCCCGGGCCATTCACCATGGGCGGCTGCTTCTCCAAGCCCAAGCCAGGTACCTCCCCTTCTCTGACAGCCTCTCCCTCCCTCTGTACTTCACCAACCTCCAAAGTAGGTCAGGCTAGGCAGGAGCCTAGAATGTTAATGCACTGCGGACAAGAAGGGTAAGAGCCTCGGAAGGCTCTCCTGGACTCCTCTTTATTTGGGACTTTCTTTGGTGTTAGTGGTGGGGACAGCAGCTGATCCCTCTTAGAAAGTTGAATCTAGAAGGTTCCTCCTAGAGGGAGGAGCTAGGGGCTACTTCCTCCATTCTGGAGAAGAGAGGCTTCAGGGATGTTCTTTTAGCCACAGTGTGACATCTTTGAGTCTCAGTTTCCCTCTCTATAGAATGGAGCTGGACACTGACCTCTTAGGGTGGCTAACAGGATACAATGGCAGGTCCCTATTCTTCTCATCCTGGGTTATATCAGATGTCATCTTGGCCTCTTTGGGCCTCACCCTGTTTTGTGTTTGTTTGTTTGTTTGTTTGGGTTTTGTTTTTTGAGACAGAGTCTCACTGTATAAACCAGGCTGGTCTCATAGTCACAGAGACTGTGACTATGCCTGTGCCGTGCAAGTGCTAGGATTAACGGCACCCATGCCTTTCTGCTTTCTGCATTTATATAGGAAATCCTGGGCCTACCTAGCCCTAGAAACTCCAGCCAGAGGTAGGGTCATTCCAAGGTACTAGAGTACTTGGGATCTGCCCTGTCATGGGACTCATGTCTTTGGGTTTCTACCCCAGTCTACATATTCCTTCTACCCTAGTGGTAACCCGTAGCCATGATGGGGATGCAGAAACTGAGGGCTTCAGAGCCCAGCGAGTGCTCCACCCACCCAACTTGCCCTGGCTGGCTCACCCTGCCAGCTTGCTCAGCTCTCCTTACCTGATACCCATCAGCTCGGTTACCTTGGGACTCATAAGACTTTTCTTCCTTTCTTGGGTCTGAGGTAGGACTTGGGGGAGGGAGCAGAGCTGAGACTCACTGGCGGTGTTGGTGGGGATTGCCCTAACTCACCTGAGTCTGAGTCTGTGCCAGGCCCTACAGCCTTTGCCATAGGTGCCCACTGTCTTGTGGACAGGAATATGCCTGCAAGGTTCCACAGGAGTCCCATACTGGGCACCTGTGGGACTACCTGGCTGGCAGGACATCATGGGAACAAGATGCCATTTACAGTTTCTTTCTTTCTTTTTTTTTTTTAAATTATTTATTTATCTTATGTATATGAGTACACTTTTGCTTTCTTCAGACACACCAGAAGAGGGCATCAGATTCCATTACAGATGGTTGTGAGCCACCATGTGGTTGCTGGGAATTGAACTCAGGACCTCTGGAAAAGCAATCAGTGCTCTTAACTGCTGAGCCATCTCTCCAGCCCTACAGTTTCTTTTAAATAACACCAATGAGCTGGCCTAACCAGGGACCTCTTGGCTCTAGAGTTAGCCATTATCCCCTGACCCCGGTCCTTGTATGTTTGCTTTTGTGATTTTTTTAAAGATAAGATCTCATCTAGCCCAGGCTGCCGTCAAACTCATTATGGGGTTGAGGATGATCTTGAGCTTACCACCCTCCTACCCCCACCTCGTGAATTCTGGAACTACAGAAGTGTGTGGTTATGATTACTTTTACTTAGTGTTGGGGATAGAGCCCAAAGCTTTGGGAATGCAAACAATCTACCAGTTATGATGTTGGTTTTTTAAATTTTATTTCTATTATTTAAATTGTGTGTGTGTGTGTGTGTGTGTGTGTGTGTGTGCAGGTGTGTTCAGAGGTGAGAAGAGACACAGTCCCTTGGACTAGGGTCATGGGCTGTTGTGAGCCACCCGAGAGCTGGGACTCAAACTCGGCTTCTCTGGAAGAACAGTATGTGCTCCAGCACTGGTTTTGTTTTGTTGTTGTTTTTGTTTGTTTGCTTGTTTTTCTATTTTTATCTTGTAAAATGAGCATTTTGCCTTCATGTATGTAAATGCACAGCATGTGTGCAACACCTGTAGAGGCCAGACTTCATCTGACCTCCTGAACCCGGAGTTACAGATGACTAATTGTAAGCTATGGTGTAGGTGCTGGAAATCGAATTCGGGTTCTCTGCAAAAGCAACAGATGACCTCTGAGCTGTCCTCACCCTCTCCCCTTTCATTAAAAGTCAGAGTTTAGCCGGGCGGTGGTGGCGCACGCCTTTAATCCCAGCACTTGGGAGGCAGAGGCAGGCGGATTTCTGAGTTCGAGGCCAGCCTGGTCTACAGAGTGAGTTCCAGGACAGCCCGGGCTATACAGAGAAACCCTGTCTCGAAAAACCAAAAAAAAAAAAAAAAAAAAAGTCAGAGTTTACACTGTAGCCCTAAATGACCTAGAACTCAGTGTAGACCAGGGTGGTCTCGAATCTACTGCGAGCCTCCTGCGTGGTGGGATGACAGACCTGAGCCATCATACCCATTTTATGTTTTCAAAACTTGGTGTTTTGCCGGGCAGTGGTGGCGTACGCCTTTAATCCCAAGCCCTTGGGAGGCAGAGGCAGGTGAATTTCTGAGTTCGAGGCCAGGCTGTTCTACAGAGTGAGTTCCAGGACAGCCAGGGCTACAGAGAAACCCTGTCTTGAAAAACCAAAAAAACAAAAACAAAAACAAAAGAAAAACCAAAAAAACAAAACAAAAATTCAAACAAACAAAAACCTTGGTGTTTTAAAGGGTGAAAGGTTTATTTTGGCTTACAATTTGAGGGGACACATTCTGTCATGGTGAAGGCCTGGCTGCTGACGGCTTTTTGGTGGTAACATCCAACAGCTGGTTATATCTGTCTTTCTCTTTTTCCAGGGCATTACTGTTCTGCTCTGGGCTGCTCTCAAAGTGGCTAGCTATTCTTATTGCTCAGAGACAACATTAAAACTTGGGCTCTTTAACCTCTTAGCTATGTGGCCAGGGGCTGACTACCCCGCTTTGGTCCTCTGTGTCCTCATACAGAGTATGGGGTAGACGGCCTGGCTCTGACCCTGGCATGCAGGAACACTTGCAGCTGTGATTTTTTTTTTCTTCCTTTCTGAGGTGGATTCTGAGTTGCAGACCCAGACACAGGCTCTAGTGGGGGGTGAGGCTCAGGAAGATTCAGGATGTAGGTATGAAAAATGAGGCATGAACACTGAGCAGTGGTCAGCAGGGCCCATGAAGAGACCAGAGCAAGCAAGGTCTTCACATTTTTGTAAATTTTCCCCTTTCTCTGCTACTCTTTGTGGCTGTGTCTTGTTGATATCAGCAATTGCTTCCTGAGTCCCTCCTGTCTTGTTCTTGAGACAGGGCTTTGCTGGATAGCTCTGGCTGGCCTGGAACTTGCTTCATAGACCAGGCTGGCTTTGAAGTCACAGACCTGCCTGCTTCTGTCACCAAGTGCTGGGATTAAAGGTGTGCACCATCATTCCTGACAGTTCTTTGTTCTTCCTAAGACTTTCAGCCAATTGCTTACCTGTGTCAGAGCTGGTAGAAGTGGCTGAGGAGATGGCTCAATAAATATGGTACCCACAACACAAACATCAGGAGCTGGGTTCAGATACCCAGAACTCACATGAAAGCCAGGTGTGGTGGTATGGACCTGTAACCCTAGTATTGCGTGTGGGAAGAGACAGGTAGTGTAGCCAAGGAGCCAATCACTGAGGTCTGGATTCAGTGGGAGATTTCCTGTTCCTCCCCTCCCCCCCAAAAAAAAGTTGGAGGGAGAGGCAGAAAGTGATAAAGACTTCTGACACTGACTGCTGGCCTTCATATGCTGTCACAGATATATGTGTGTACACCCCTATGTTCTCTAAATCATGTGTGTGAGCGTATACACACACACACACACACACACACACACACACACACACACACTCCTACCCACATCTAATAGGAAGTCCAGCTCTGTTGATCTGGCCGTCGTTCTGCCTTTCATTAGCCTTTTGTTATTTATCATGTCTTCCAGGAAGTTCAGAGCTAGCTGATAAATCTCTTTTACCAGGGCTAGGATATGTAGCTCAGTCATTAGAATGACCACTGAAGATGGCAGAAACCCTGTGTTTAATCCCTAGCACCAAAACCAAAACCATGCCAAAAAAAAAAAAAAAAAACCCACACAAAACAAAAACAAACCAACCCCTCAAGCCACTACTGCAGTTTCCAAAGTAGAGCTTGTGTTCTGGTTAATACGTATGATCAGCAAATGGGCAGATGCTCTTCGTTCTTCCCTACCCCCATTTTGAGGCAGCGTCCCACATGTTAATCCAGGCTGACCTGGAATTCACAATGAAGCCCAGGCTAGCCCTGAGCTTGTGGCAGTTCTCTACCTCAGCCTCCCAAGTGCTACAATTACAGGGGTCAGTCACTACTGACAGTTTGTCTTTCGCCTTTGATGTTGGGGATGGAACCCAGGACCCTGCCATGCTAAGTGTGACCCCATCAGCTGTCTCTACCATAGCCTGTTCTCATTTTGTGACTAAGGTGTCTTGAGGCCCAAGAGGCGATGACAGTGACTGGGTGGCTGAGGGATCGTGGAACTGGGTTGCCCTAGCTCTATGGGTAAGCAGGGTCCTCCAAGGTGTCCCTTCTGCTCCTGATGTAATGACTGCCCAGAAGAACATCAGTGAGCTTGCCTCAGAGCCTTCTGGAAGCATGCAGAGAATAGCAGCCTGCTGTGCAGGCTCTCTGGCATCCTGCCAGGCTGTTCCTGTGGCCTCCCACAGCTCTCGCCACAGAGAGCAGCTGAGCCTGACATAGTTTTCCTCTTAATTCTTCCAAAAACATTCTAAAACCATTACATAAAGTGTGTTAGTTGGAGTCCCTGCCCCCACATGACACCCTCCACAGTGTGGCTGCAGACTCTTGTGTCCTCTTCACCAGGCCCAGTCAAGGAGCTGCCCTTTGCCTTTCTCCCCTGCAGGGGTTAGGCCTGAGGAGAAAGCAGGGATGCTGACATGTGGAGGGAAACTTGGCCCAACATGCAAGGATCAAGAACCCATGCAGGGCCCACAGAGTCACAAGTATGAGGCCTGACCCTGAGCTAGTGAGCCTGACCCTGAGCTAGTGAGCTCACACTGCTGGGAGGATGGGGGTGGGGCAGCAACTCAGAGACCAGGTTAATCCTTGTATCCTTTGTTTGTGGATGTCAGGTCTGAGGTGAAGGGGTTCAAAGGTAAAAGCAGGAGAGGCTTTGATGCCTGAGGGCAGGGAGAGGGAGCCGCCTGCTCCCAGGATGGCCCATGCTGTGCCAGAGCCTAGCTTCCTCCTCCTTGGCCTCCTCCCTACTGTAGCAGCCCAGGAGACCGGATTACAGCTGCTCAAAATTCTGTTTATTGTTCCCTTTTAATAAGAAAGAGAGAAAGAGAGAAAGAAAGAGAAAAGAAAAGAAACCAGGCATGTCATGGAGATTTGGGGAAAGTTCAAAGAAGACAATGTTGGGTCTTTAGCTGCCTCCTCCTGCTGTCCTGGAGTGGCCCCATGGACACTGAGCAGCCTCAGCAGTGCATCTGCTCTTCTGTGCTGCACACATGGACACCCCCTTAACGGCTTCACTGCCAGGGCTGCAGACCCTGTACACAGAGATGCCAACCATGTGAGGTTTGGTAAATGCTAAAGAAATTACAAATTGATGGGCATAGCTATATTAAGAAGCTGAAAGCTGCCTGGCAGTGGTGGTGCACACCTTTAGTCCAGCACTTGGGAGGCAGAGGAAGGCGGATTTCTGAGTTTGAGGCCAGCCTGGTCTACAGAGTGAGTTCCAGGACAGCCAGGGCTACACAGAGAAACCCTGTCTCCAGAACAAAACAAAACAAGACCTCCAAACAACAAAAAGCATTTAAAGCTAATAGGAAAGTTTCTAGGTTGGTCTAGGACTCATGGGAGTCCTGCTCAGTCTCTGGAGTACTGAGATTATAGGTGTGAGCCACTGTCCCAATAGAGCAGTGAACATTCTTCCATTGCCCAGACCCACTGGCTGTGAATTGAGCTGTAAATGTGTCTCCAAGAAGGGGCATTGCCCTTGTCCATCATTAGATGAGTTGTGCATGGTGGTTCTTTCCTCCAGACTGCCTCCAGGTATGAAGGGCTGTGTTCTGTCACTCCCTTACTAATTTTGTCATTGGAAAACAGAAGTTTCTGGTCTGGCTGTAGTTCAGTGGTGGAGTACTAGCCTGACCTAAGGGAGCCCCTGGGTTCTTCAACAAGAAGAAAACATACAAAAGTGAATTGAAGTCAAGCACCTTTTGCTGGCCTCTGCTTGGCCTGTGGGATGGGAACAGGGCTGGTTCAGCTAGGGCTCATGGTTTGCTTTGTCCACAGTGGAGCTCAAGATTGAAGTGGTGCTGCCAGAGAAAGAAAGGGGCAAGGAGGAGCTGTCAGCTAGCGGAAAGGGCAGTCCCCGGGGTTACCAGGGCAATGGCACAGCACGCCACTTCCATGCTGAAGAGCGTCTGCCCACCCCACAACCATATCCCAGCCCTCAGGACTGTGTGGAGGCTACTGTCTGCCATGTCAAGGACCTTGAGAATGGCCAGTGGGTGCTGGGCTGCAAGGGTGGTGGTAGGACTTGAGGTGGGGGGCATTGGAGAGGCCACATATGAGGGGTTGGGCTGAGGCCGTGGAGTGAAATGGGCTCTTGGCTCCCTGGGTGCTAAGCTTTGTGCTTCAGCTGTTCGGGGCTATCCAAATATTGGACTTGGGAGGAGGTGCTTACAGGAGGGCATGACTAGCTTCTGGCTTGATCTCTGAGCTCAGCCCCTCCCCAGGATGCGAGAAGTGGAGCTGGGCTGGGGAAAGGTGTTGTTGGTGAAGGACAATGGGGAATTCCATGCCCTGGGCCATAAGTGTCCTCACTATGGAGCGCCCCTAGTGAAAGGTAAGAAAGTGTGAGGTACGTATGGGAGGTAGGATACACCACCCATGCCTATATAGGGATTCCGAAAGGCCCCAGGGCCTTCATCCATTGTGAGGGCTCCTGGGTTGGGGAGAGGTCCAGCAGGGTCCAGTACCAGAGCCCTAGAGTGCAGTTTCTAGGCATGGCTCTAGTCTGGCACTCATTTGTCTCTCCTAGGTGTCCTGTCCCGGGGACGTGTGCGCTGCCCCTGGCATGGTGCTTGCTTCAACATTAGTACTGGGGACCTAGAGGACTTCCCAGGCCTGGACAGTCTGCATAAGTTCCAGGTAGGGCTGGGAAGGTGGCATGATGGGAGCCCGTGTTGTGGAGTCAGAGACTGAAGCATCTCAACGTTTGGTGATGATGCTGCCCTCTCAGGTGAAGATTGAGAAGGAGAAGGTGACCGTTCGGGCAAGCAAGCAGGTACCAGGGAGACTCAGGGGTCACCGAGGCCCAGGTTTAAGAGGAAAGGTTTTGAACAGGCTGGGGGGCGGGAGCATATCTTGGCTGGAGAAGAGCATGTAGCAAAGCCATGTGGTGTGGGAGGGAATGAAGGATTGGAGTGTGGAGATGAAGCTGGGCTGGAGCCTCCGGTCCAGCTCCCAGCTGCCCTTCCCCACTCTCAGGCCCTGCAGCTGCAGCGGAGGACAAAGGTAATGACCAAGTGTATCTCTCCAAGTGCTGGCCACAGCGGTAGCACCAACGTGCTCATAGTGGGTGCAGGTTGGTGTTGGAATAATGAAGGAAAGGGAACGCTTGGAGGGTGGGAGAGGCCTTGGCCTTGATCTATGGTCCTATTGCTCAGGTGCTGCTGGCCTAGTATGTGCAGAGACACTGAGGCAAGAGGGCTTCTCAGACCGGATTGTCCTTTGCACACTGGATCGACATCTGCCCTATGACCGGGCCAAGCTCAGCAAGGTGGGAATGGAATGGGGTACCTGGATCCTTATTCCTCCAGGTCCCTGTCCCCAGATCCCTGTCACATCCACATGGAGCCTCGCCTGGAACGCATTGGAGGTCTAGCTGTCTGTTTTCCTCAGTCTCCCAGGCCTGTCTATGGTGCTACTAAGAGATCTGAGGTTATTGAATTCTGTCTTAAAGCTGCAGTATCATGCAGAGTGACCTCACCGTCCTTGGGGTCTGCATCTTCTACAGGGTGATGAGATGACAAGAGTGTCATACATGCACCTTTCATCTTAGCACTTGGGAAGCAGAGGCAGGCAGATCTCTGTGAGTTTGGTATACATAGCTAGTTCCAGGCCAACCAGAGCTACAAACAGAGACCATGTCTCAAAAATTAATAAATAAAAATAAAATAGCCACCATCTCACCATCTGGCCTTGACTCGTGACCATGTTCCTCAGACCCTGGATGCACAACCTGAACAGCTGGCCCTGAGACCCAAGGAATTCTTCCGGGCCTATGGCATCGAGATACTCACTGAAGCCCAGGTATGAGGAAAAGGAGGGGGAAAACAGGCAATGAAAAAGTTTAAGGAAACAAGAGGCCATGGGTACCCCTGGAGGTGTGATGGATGCTCAGCCCTCTGTGCAGGCCTGGGACCCAGCATTGAGTCTTCTTCCTGGCAGAGGGGTAAGGAGATGGTCTGATCCCAGCTAAGACAATGGAGCCTTGTGGGACTTGAAAGTATATAAAGACAGCTTTGAAGGGTTGGGTCTGCCCTGAAGCTGCACCTTAGAAGCCTAAGTTCTGGGTTCTGGGGGTCTTGTGGAACTCTAAAGTACGTCACAAGGCCCAAGCCTGTGCTGAGGCCTCCTGCTGCCCACTGGGGCTTGCAGGTGGTCACAGTGGATGTGAGAAATAAGAAGGCTGTGTTCAAGGATGGCTTCAAGCTAGAGTACAGCAAGCTGCTGCTGGCACCAGGAAGTAGGTAGGTAAACACCTTCTGCCTCTGCCAGACACTAGGCAGCTGGACATCGGCCAGGGTTGGAGATCCTCACTGATCCCACCGAATCTTAGCCCTAAGACCCTGACCTGCAAAGGGAAAGACGTAGAGAATGTGTTCACCATCCGCACACCTGAGGATGCCAACCGCGTGCTGCGGCTGGCCCGGGGCCGCAATGCTGTTGTTGTGGGAGCAGGCTTTCTGGGTGAGTAGCTGCAGGGGAGGTGGGTGGTGGTTACCATGGCCAGTTCAAGCCGTGAGTCATAGTGCCATCCTTGCCACTACCTGCCCACCACCCAGGGATGGAGGTTGCTGCTTATCTGACTGAGAAGGCCCACTCAGTATCTGTGGTAGAGCTGGAGGAGACACCCTTCCGGAGGTTCCTTGGGGAGCGTGTTGGTCGTGCCCTTATGAAGGTGAGTCTGTGTTGATGCTTGGCCTCTAGATGCCCTGGTTGACTTGCCTGGCCCTAGGCCAGAGTCTCACCCACTACCCATGTTCCTCTTTGCTTGTACAGATGTTTGAAAACAACCGGGTGAAGTTCTATATGCAGACAGAGGTGTCAGAGCTGCGGGCTCGAGAGGGCAAGGTAGGCTTTTCTCTGCTGCTGTTGCTGCTGCCTGTGTCTCTCCCTGTGCTCAGGAACTGTGCCCACTTGCTCACCCATTCCCTCCCCCCAGCTGCAGGAGGTGGTGCTGAAGAGCAGCAAAGTTCTGCGTGCAGATGTCTGCGTGGTAGGCATTGGTGAGTAGGTAGACAAGCAAGTACTAGTGAACAGAACTGCCCATATACACTCTCAAGTGACCTTGGACCCTTACTTGAGCCTCAGTTTCCACACTTATAAAATGGGACTCCAATGGTACCCACTTCACAGGACAATTGTATACTGGGCTTAGTCCAGGCCTCTCATGGAGCAAGTGACTGCTCTCCGTGATACCAGCTGATACATAGGAACACAGACAAGTTTCTGATTGGTTCTTATGCCAACTGACGTAATAGTTTGGGGAGGAGCCAAGCTGGAAGGTGGCAACACAGGGTTGGAGAAGCATGGCTGTGGATCCCCATCATGAGAGTTCTATAGCACTTACTGGGGAGACTGTTCCTGGGGCTAAATAGGGAGTACAGAGCCTACAGATGGGTTTACAGAGGGCAGGATGCGAGAAGTCCCTAGGTGGGCATCCTATGGGTGATTAACCTGGAGCAGGCAAGTATAGCAGGAATGGAGAGAGATGAGACAGGAGAACAGCAGGACCAGGGTGTGGATGCATGGCTTCTGTCCTGTTAGGTGCGGTGCCTGCCACAGGCTTCCTGAGGCAGAGTGGCATTGGTCTGGATTCCCGAGGTTTCATCCCAGTCAACAAGGTGGGGCTGGATGCAGTGGGTAGGATGCTGGGAGGAGCGTGGCTGGATGACAGAGTCAGCTCCCCTGTACCACCCACAGATCCTTGACCCTCCCCACAGATGATGCAGACCAACATCCCAGGAGTGTTTGCTGCAGGTGATGCTGTCACCTTTCCTCTTGCCTGGAGGAACAATCGGAAAGTGAACATCCCACACTGGCAGATGGCTCATGCCCAGGGTATGGCCAGTCCGGAGGCAAGTTAAGGGCTGGAAGACCATTCCAGGGTCTCAGCCACCTTCAGGCCCATTCCCCAGTTGTTGATCCGGGGTCTTAAGTTCAGGAGTTGGTGGTTCAGTGAGCCTTATCCAATGATCAGTCGGTCTACAGTGTGGCCTCTCTCCTGAGACCCTCTGCATACTATTTAGTTAGACAAAACCCTCTCTGGCCCATTTGTCTTTTTGCTACCCTCTCTCTTTTGTTCTCAAGGTTATGTATTTGGCAGAATTGCTGCTTGGCCAGCAATTACCTCTGAGAGGGAGGGAGAGTTTATTTAGTAGGCTAGCTTCTTACTCAGGGCCTGTTTTTCTTGCACCACTAAACTACGTCTGTGACTTGGTTGGGTTATTGTGGTTTTCTGTGGAATTACGTCCCCCAGCATTTGGTAGCCACCAGGTCTCCTGAGCTTCATGGACTATGCTCTCAATCCCTAAGATGTAGGCACCAGTGTGTGAACCACCTCAACTCCTTACAAAGAACCTCCACGTCTCTAGCTTTGTACAGGGAGTGCTCCCCCATCTTACCTTCCCTTTCTTCTTCCTTCATCTTGAAAGTCTGATGGTAATGGTATCTCCCAATTCCAGTATCTGTTCAAATTCTAGCTTGCTACTAGAGAATAAGGACCCAAAGGCCACTCCTTGGCCAAATATAATTAGGACTTAGGGCTCTCTGGAGATTCTTAGACGTATTCAACTTTAGATTCACATGGAGCTTAGGAAAAGTGGAAAGCCACCTGTGCTAACTATGGGCCCTACACGTGCCTGTCACCTCTCCTGTGTGGCCTTTGTGCCCCATTGTCTTCCCTCTTTACACCTGCTGTATCTGATCTGTTGTCTGTGTACACAACTGTGAAGTAGCTCACAACCCCAGTAGACCTTTCAGATGTACAACACGTCATTCAAAGAGGAGGCATTAGTGTCAGTGGATCTCTGGGGCCAGGCGTTTCCCTCTGTACCCATTAACTGCATCCAAAGGTCGCCTATGAGCTGAACATGATTCCTTTTTGGGGAGACCTAGACAACAACGATACCTGTCAAGGGTCCCTAGAATGGGGTGAGGGCAGACAGTGCTGTGGTGGTGGGAGGAAGGATTGAGCTCTCACCACCCTGGGTCTTTCAGGGCGGGTTGCAGCTCAAAACATGCTGGCACAGGAGGCGGAGATCAACACGGTACCGTATCTGTGGACTGCCATGTTCGGCAAGAGCCTGCGCTATGCTGGTAACTAAAAGCTTGTCTCATGGGGATGGGGGCCTGAAGGCACTTCAGGATTAAGTGTGGGGGTTGAGTCCAGTAAGAACTAAGAATTGGCAAATAAGAAGTGGTTTGGCTCAGGTGCATATTGTAATCTCAGCAGTCCAGAGGCTAAAATGCAAAGATTAGGAATTGAAGATCAATTTGACTCTTGGATGGTGGAGCTGGAAACTGCGTAGGAGAAGTCAAGGGTTGATGAGACGGCTCAGTGGGTAAGAGTTCTTGCTGGCAAGCTAATGATCTGAGTTCGATTCCTAGAACCCACAGAGTGGAAGGAGAAAAAAATTCTTCCTGCAAGTTGTTCTCTGACCTCCATACATGCATGTGTACATACACATGAAATAAATAAATAAATAAATAAATAAATGTAATTTTTAAAAAAGTTGGAGTAGGATCCAGGCATGGTGGCACATGACTTTAGTCCCAGCATTTGAGAAGAGCCAAATGGATTTCTGAGTTCAAGGCCAGCCTGATCTACAGAGTGAGTTCTAGACCAGTCAGGACTACACAGGGAAACCCTGTCACAAAAAAACAAGAGGGCGAGAGAAGGCAAGGTAGGAGGGAGCTTGGTGGTTTAGACAGGTGTTAGGAGAGCAGGCTAGGGCTGTGAAAACTGTTCCCTTCCCCAGCTCACATAGGCACCCTCCCGCAGGCTATGGAGAAGGCTTTGATGATGTCATCGTTCAGGGGGATCTGGAGGAGCTGAAGTTTGTGGCTTTTTATACCAAGTGAGAGCAATGGGGTGCACTGGGAGCATGGAGCAGTGGGAGTGCTGTTGGGAGTAGATAGTGTTAGCAAGGCAGGGGGGGCTTTGCTAAAAGGCTAGTGAATGGCATGGTGGGGTGGGGATGTTGGGCAGGAGATGAGGAGGAAGTCATCAAATAATACTGTGTCTTTCGGACATTTCTTTGAGGTAAGTGTTGACACTGAGGTAGGTGTCTATAACAAGGAAGGGCAGACAGGTGGAGAAAAGCTGATGCTAAGGCTGGGCCAATCCCTGAGCTGTGCCAAGGGTTTCCTTTGGCAGGTGACAGTGATGGGGCCAAATGGAGGGCTGGGTGCTCAGGACATCTTGTTTCCATGGACAAGAGCCTTCCTAGCATCCCAGGTGGACCAAAAGGTGTTGGGATCTCAAGAAGGACCACTGCCGCTGGTGGTCCTCAGGCTCGGGCTCCTTTTCTCTCTAGAGGTGATGAAGTGATTGCTGTGGCCAGCATGAACTACGACCCCATCGTATCCAAGGTGGCTGAGGTGCTGGCCTCAGGTCGAGCCATCCGGAAGCGGGAGGTGGAGTGAGTGCGGGTGTGGGAGGCTTTGGGGTGTGTGTGGGTGTCCTGGATAGGCTCTATTCAAGCTACCATGGCAGCCCGTTGCCCGCCCAGTCCTGTGGAGCTCTCACCCTCACTTTCAGTTCCCATGGTTCCTGGATGAGATGGGGGATGAATTTGGATTAGAAGTTGATAGGATATGCGTACAAGGAAACAAGTGTGTGACCCAGAGAGGAGCCAGTGTTGGGGGTGGAGGCAGTGTGATTCGTGCTCAGCTTGGCAGAAGCTAGGTGGAGAAACATAGCAAGTGATGCTCCCGGATATGCCATCCATAGAGAGGTGGGGTGGTTACATGACATCTGGGGAGCAGTGGACATGAGCCGTTACCTTCATCCCAGCACAGTGCCAATGAGTCCCCAGTAGCTTAACCTGTGTACAGAGAACTTCCTGGGACCAGGGACAGGCCAGAGGTGACTGAGGGGCTGATGGCTATGTGATGGGGTAAATCCTAGAGTGGAAGGCAGTGGAAGACTCAGAGTGGATCTGATAAATGACATGCTTTCTTTGGCCTTCTGTTTTTCCCTCTTGCCTTCAAAAAGGTTGTTTATGCTACACAGCAAGTACGTGCATTCTTTCTTGTTGACTGTTCTGAGCCTTTCTTCCCTAGCCCAATGACTGAACCCTCCTGCTTGCCCAAGTCCATTACCTATGGGGCACCAGGCTTCCGGACACAGATCAGTCCCTGCTACTATATTCAAGAGTCACTTGCTCGTGGTACCTACACTGAAGAACCTGTCCTCTTCTGTCCTGACCCAGCCTCCTCTCATTCCTGCAGAACCGGTGACATGTCTTGGCTCACAGGGAAAGGATCCTGAGCTCTCATGTGGTGGGCACGCCTCTGGGGCACCAAGGTCAGAGACCAAGTCCTGGGGCAAGTGCCAATCTCCAATTTCCCAGGATCCCCCAAGGCAGAATCTGAGTCCTCCGAGGCTTGCCTTCAACTGTCTGCCTCCAGAGGATAGTCCATCCCCAAGGCCTTAGCTGTCACTGGCAGCTGGTTTTAGAGGCAGGACAGGCTCTGCCTCTGTTTCCTCTTTTAGGACTGTCTTCCCAGCAAGCCCCTTCAACATTACCTTAAAATTAAAACACATGTATCAGCACATCTGTGTCCCAGTGTAATTGGGCCAGCACTTAGAGCCAGGCATGATGTGGCATGTCTGTGACTGCAGCACTCAAGGCAGGGGCAGGAAGGTCACAAGTTTCAGACCATCCTGGACTGTATGAGATCTTTTGCTTTTAAAAAGCTTCAGAAGACAGAGGCAGCTTTTGTATTTGTCCACTTAAGAGAGATAGGAGCTGGGTCCTGGGTCCTGCAGACTCCATGCTGCCCACAGCAACCTGAGCTGGTATAATAACAATAATAATGATAATTATTGGTTTTTTTTTTTTTGGTTTTTCGAGACAGGGTTTCTCTGTATAGCCCGGGCTGTCCTGGAACTCACTCTGTAGACCAGGCTGGCCTCGAACTCAGAAATCCGCCTGCCTCTGCCTCCCGAGTGCTGGGATTAAAGGCGTGCGCCACCACCGCCCGGCTATGATAATTATTGTTAATCACAGCCAGGAGGTGGTGGCACACACCTTTAATCCCAGTGCCTGGGAGGCAGAGGCAGGCAGATCTCTGAATTCAAGGCCAGCCTGGTCTACAGAGTGAGTTCCAGGACAGCCAGGGCTACACAGAGAAACCCTGTCTAAAAAATACAAAATCACTTCATTGTTATAAACTCACAAATACACTCTGCTGGATTACAGTAGTCACTCAAAAACCTATCCAGTTCCACTCTATATATCTCGATTTTTTTTTTTTTGTACAATTAGGATACCCACTGTGAAGCTGCTCTTGACTTTTACGATTTTACATTTATAAGCTCTTACAAAAAAAAAAAAAAGCTCTCTTACAAAAAAAATTTTTTTGAGCCGGGCAGTGGTGGCGAACACCTTTAATCCCAGCCCTTGGGAGGCAGAAGCAGGCGGATTTCCGAGTTCGAGGCCAGCCTGGTCTACAGACTGAGTTCCAGGACAGCCAGGGCTACACAGAGAAACCCTGTATCAAAAAAAAAAAAAAAAACTAGACCATTTAATTTTATATCTATTTCTTGACTATATGTGTCCCTTTTGCCTGAAGTTCCTGAATCCTCATTTCACAGGCGATTCAACTGGCAACAGACAACTTACAAAAAACCACGGATTGTGGTGTAGTCTAATGGCAGAGTGCATGTCCATCAAGTCCTGGGTTCAAAACCCATCGCAAAAGAGGGAGGGAGGGAAGAGGAGAGGGAGAGAGAGAAACGAAGATCCTGCTATCAACGGAGAACTCACAGGTGCCCCGCCATCAAGAGTCTCAGACAATAAGAATTCCAAGAGCAGAGGGGAGCAGTGAAGATCAGGTTTGGTGGGGCGCAAACAGAAGGAGGATAGTTGAGCTGCTCGCTTGCAAATCGGAAACCTCATCCCGCGAAACGGGGAGGGGCTTCCGGGAGATGGCAAAGCCCGACTACAAGGCATGCCGGGAGCGTGTAGCTCGCAGCTGCCTTGAGAATGTCAGTGGCTTGCTATAGCCAGACTGCGTTTCTTGAAAGGGGAAACCCAAGCCAAGACTTGGCCAGAAATACTTTCCAGAATGTGACGTACTCGATATATGGTAATGCGAGAAGTCTGGCCGCCAGGTTCCTTGACAGTTCGCCGGGTTGCGGGGAGCGCGAGGTTTGTCGGGACGGCCGACAAGCTGGCCGGAAGTGCTACACCAGGGGCGCAGGGCTCTCTGGGAAGTGTGGTCCTTTGGCTCGGCCCAGGCGGTGGCCGTGAATTTCGCAACCTGGTGGCCTATCTGGACTGAACGCGGGATGGCCGGCTCCGGAGGCTCCGGAGGTCCCGTTGGGCCCGGGGCCTTGACAGGAGGGGTGCGCTCCAAGGTGGCTCCGAGCGTGGACTTTGACCACAGCTGCTCAGACAGTGTCGAGTACCTGACGCTCAACTTTGGACCCTTCGAAACAGTGCATCGCTGGCGGCGCCTCCCGCCCTGCGACGAATTCGTGGGCGCCCGGTACGACAGTGTACAAGGGATCCTGAGGCACTGGTAGTAGGGATGAGAGCTGAAGTCTCAGGACGGGCTCTAGGAGCGAGATCCCGTGTGATGTCCTGGAGTATGGATTGGTCGTTCCCAAAGCTGAGTTCCCAGGGAGTAGCACCATAGTGACCCTAGGCAGGGTACCAGACGTGTGTTTCTGAGGATCCTGTTTGGGTCCCTGAGCTGTGAGGTATGAGTGGGAAGTCTCACTCGTCCCCAAGTGTCCTTGCTGTCCGAAGAAACTGAAGGATCTCTACAGATCTTAGCAGTTGAGAGGCTTTAGCCAAACTTGGGGCAGCAACCATGTGTAGTCCAATTTGTTGGGTGCCAGCCAGGAGAGTCCCAGTCTCACCACCCTTCACCCCTTTCTTCCTTCTAGGCGCAGCAAACACACAGTCGTAGCATATAAGGACGCCATCTATGTGTTTGGTGGAGACAACGGGTGAGTTTGCTTGTTTTGTTGGGAGTGGTGGCAGGGGATGATGACAGAGAGACTGTTGTCTGAGAATGGGAGTCATAGTCATGCCCTGTGAGCCTCTGCTTTCCCATCTGTGCAGTGCTTTGCACTTGATTCCCATGTTATGGTGAGGAAGATCCTACCTTTAAAGCCCTTTTAACTAGCATTCAAATGGCAGCACATGCTAAATACATGGAAATATCCTTGTTTTGAATGAGGAGACACAGCTTTGGAAGAAATGTGTACTCTTGCTAGCCCTGCTGGCACTTTTCTTCTTTCTCTACATTTCTCTAGAGAGAAAAGCCTATTGGCTTTGCCCACATGCTTGTTTTGTAACATCTCTTATGTGTGTGGGGGGGATGGGGGATGGGGGTAGGAGGTGGGACAAATGTGGAGATCAGACAACAGCTAGCTATCATTTTTTTCCTAGTATGGGTACCAGGGCTTGAACTCAGGTTGCAAGACTTGGCAGCAAGTACCTTCCCTTGTGGAGCCATCTCACTACCTCTAAACAGTTTTATTCATGCTGTGCACATCTTGCTTTTGGTGGAGATTTCTGTGTTGCTTTAACTTCCTGGAAAATAATATTCCTGGAAATGACCTGGTAAGCACACACACAGACTTCCACCAGTTAAGCTGAGGTTATGTGTTTACATATGACTCCCTCCTCTTAGACCTAGAACCTGTCCTAAAGCCCAGGACAGGTACTGTATAGCCTTGGTCCTGTAGACTACATGAGGTAGCTGACCTAGAGCGAATGAGATTTTAAGGACTCTATTAGGACACGCAAACTTGGCCATGATTGCCTGGGATTTAGCTCATCTCCACTGTCTGTTTCTCCAAGAGCAGTTGGGGCTCCATGTACAACTGCACATCAGAGTGTGCACTCCTTGGTTCACAGCCCTGTAGTGTCTCCATCTTCTCTGTGCAAAGACCAGTCCTAATAGGAGGGTATGGCCTACTTGTTCGTGCTGTCCTGTCTCTCTGGTGGTTTTGCATTTGGATTGTCTCCGCCTCTTGCTGCCCAGCCCTTTGGAACGTTGTTCCTTCTCTTGTGGAAGGAACACTTCTGTTTCCCTTCTGATGTTCTTATGGATGAGGCCTTGTACCCTCTTACATCTTACTAGTGCCACTTGCCCCCTGCTGTTGGCTGTGATCTATTTCCATACTCAGTTCCTTACAACAGTGTGAAGATGTACCTGTTTACTGAAGTAAAAGAAAAGGACAAGCCTTAGTAAGAAATCCTACACCAAAAAAGACTGGTGTCTAACATAGGGTGGGTAGGACGGTAGGACTGCTGTCCTCAGTATCTTCTGGAGCAGGTAGACAACTGTGTGGTAATAAGCAGAAGTGGTTTTGGTGTGCAGTTTCAAGAGAAAAGTTAGAGAAGGTCAGGTGCACATCTATTTGGCTGTGATTTATGATAAATCAGGGCATCCATTAAGAGTGGAAAGAGGAGTTCCTTCTGGGCAGTAGCAACTTTGGGTATTGGAAAGTAGGAGCAAGGAAACCTGTCCATGGAGCCCTGTCAGTTAAGATGGACTCTTCAGGGTTACACCACAGGAGCTTCCTTATGACACCAACTCAGGTTGACTACAATCTCCTGGTTTTAGGGGAAATTGTGAGGTTTTGGGATCAGTCACTTTCATGCTTGAGTTTATGAGACATCTGACCTTGGTAACTGTTCTGCTTTGCCATGGTCTTTGGAGGCCTAGTATAGGAACTTAGTTTAAAACAGTGGTGTCCCGTAATTTTGTTTAACAAGTGCCACTAAGTTTAAGTAAGAGGTTAAATGAGGAAGGGCAGGGACGAGGCATGATACCAGCATTCTAAGCTTTGACTTCTTGGCTATCGGTCCATGCTTCTTCTCCCATAAAATGTTAGGATGGGTAGCCACCTAGCATAGACTGAACAAGGTAGGGAGAGATGCCCTGCAAAGGCCTGGCCTGGAGGGAGTGCTTGAAATCAAGTTGGTTCACCTTTTTTCTACATTAACAAGTTGGTAATATGCCCAGCTTGCATATTAAATGCAAGCTAGCCCAATGAGCAGTGGAATTACCTTTGATGCAGTTATGTCAGATGGTGGCAGATGGAAAAGCATCCAGGTCTCCACTGATGTTTGAGCCAGAATGTGTCGTTGTAGTGCAGCCTTGGAAGCGTTCAGTGGAGGCTGGGTGAGGTATGAGTAAGGACTAGCTCTGGACCCTTGAGTGGGCTGCTGCTGGTGTGATCAGGCTGGCCTTGCCTGTGTGGGAAACCTAGTTGCCCATATCACCTAGTCACTAGTTTTGAGC